CCGCCTGACTTTCATCGAGCCCAACATGCCCGTTACTATGCATTTTGGACCTTGGAGCCCTACTTTGGCTTTCAACGCCAATGTACGCTACCCGCCCGAAGTGCTCGCCTTCATCACAGCAGTGGCGGAGCGCGACTTGCGCCGTGCAATGACGGAGCGCATACCTCAAGAGGCAATGTATTACGCAGGCAAAGCCTTTGCCAAATTTGCCACTATTTTGTGGGTCATCAAGGATATCTTGGGCCATGAAGCGATTGCTATCGCTGGCCTCAACAAAATCAAACTAGAGTTTTCCAAGTACGTCGAGAACCAACAACGGTACGCGCTTTACTACGATGACAGTTGGAAAGGCGTCGTTTCATCAGCCGGCTTTTTCGATTCGTCGGCTGATTTTGGAAACACATACTACAATAACCATCACTTTCACTATGCATATTTCATCTACACAGCCGCTGTCATTGGATACCTGGATCCGGAGTGGGTGTATCAAGGTGACAACAAACTATGGACAAACATGCTGGTCAAGGACTTTGCAGAAAGCGACTACAACAGCCGGGACTACCCATTTTTCCGAACGTTTGACTGGTGGCATGGGCATAGTTGGGCAAAAGGCTTGTTCGAGAGTGCTGATGGCAAAAACATGGAGAGCACTGGGGAAGACGCATTCTCTAGCTTTGCGATGAAGATGTGGGGAAAAATCATTGGCGACGCAAACATGGAGAGGAGAGGTGTGTCTCCTCCATCTGAGCAATTCAGAAAAGTTGGACTAATAACATGGCACAAACCCATGCAGGCAACCTGATGTTGGCTATTCAGGCACGGTCGTACAACACATACATCTACCTGCAGACGGGAAACCGGAACCATCCGGTGCGCTACGTGCAGAACAAGGTGTGCGGTATTTTGTTTGAAAACAAAGTAGATCATGCGAGTACGTATACGCGACACAGCACCATGTGCGTTTGCTGTAAGCTGTGCTCCAGAAGAGGAAGATGAATTGGCAAGGACACTCAGGCAACATGCAGGGAGTAAACGTTGCTGACAGCAGTTCTGCACAAGCATATTTTGGACTCGCCCCCGAACTCGTCCATGGTATCCACATGGCGCCTATTACGCCGGCAACATCGCTGATTCGACCACGGACATTTGTCAAGGAAGAATGGGACAAGTTTTTCAGCAATGGAAAGGCGAATGTAGATGGTGAGAAAGACAATCCTTTTCTACACTCTTATATCGTCTCTTCCTAGATCTCGTTTATTAATGCATAAGCTCGCGTAAAAAACAGGAGGATGGCGATCTGTCCTGTATGCAAATCTAGCCATTGTGGATCCCAAGGCCAGCTATGCGTTTTTCCGCGATGGAATCAACGGCTTCTGGGACGAGCAGTGGATCGATAGTGGGGCGAGCCGGACGTGGTATCTTGTGTGGGCAGCGGCGCTGGGTGAATTTGCAAAGGGGGGCAAGTAATAGGCACGAAGAATGAGGCGAATCGGATGGGGTGGAGTAAGAGAGAAGTAAGATAAGCGGGACAGGGAAGCAGAGGATTGGTGTGAAATTGGATTCATGGCTGGCGGGCGACGGAGACGGTCGATAGATTACCTGGAGCCCGAGAGACGCCGATGGTCCGAGAGAGTTCGTACGTATGACTGGCCGAATGAAAGATGGAGCCGACCAGAACATGTTGCACGACGGTAGAACGACGACGACGTCTTTTTAAGCATTTCCTCTTTTATTTTATTTTCCGAAATGTTTAACTTTGTACACAGCTCAGACGACAATGGCCCCCGATCCCCACCCTGATGCACTGATGGGCCAGGCGATCGGGGTGATGCACGGGCTGGAGGAGTCGGGATCAGCCACACTTCGCTTGCTCCCGCAGCACTGCCACAAGCAGAGAAAACGCCAAGACTAGCAGCACCGCCCCACAGATACTCGTACAGGGAAAAAGAACCACAGGATAACCGCCAAAGTACATAGGAAATAACCGACACGCAAAATTAAACATAAAGTGTTGAAGACTACAATTTACTCTTTCTTTTTGTACACAAACACAAGGAAATGGGGGCTGCTCTCAGCAGCGAGCGCATAAACGGGCCTGGCTTGCAGGCGGCATGCGCACTCAAGGTTGAAACCGAAAAAGGGGTGTAAAGAAAGGGTCGTGATCTAGCTCGTAGCAAAGAAGCGCCTGATAACCTCGTTGGTGATGGTGCCGGCAGCATCGTCGGGATAAATGTAGAAGGCGAGAGCTATGATGGCATAGATAGCAATGCACATGGCGCCCTCGAGATAGTTGCTCTTTCCATCTTGAATCAGGTAGTTGACAATCAGGACCGAGATGAAGAAGATCATCGTCTCGAAACCCTGGAAGTGGAGAGTCATGGGTTGGTGGATGATCCAGCCAAGGATGACGAGGAAGGGGGTGACGAAGAGGGCGATTTGCATAGAGGATCCAATAGCCACGTTGATCGCGAGGTCCATCTTGCCCTTGTATGCGACAACGACAGCCGTGACGTGTTCGGCGGCGTTTCCGACGATGGGGATCAGAATCAGACCAACAAATGTTTTGCTAATGTGCGCTGATTCAACAATCGAGTCGATGCTGTCGACGAGGTATTCAGCGCAGATGGCGACAAGGATGGTAACAACAACCAAGGCAACGCCAGCAGCCTTGGGTGAGAGAATCTCGGGCTCTTCCTGGTCCTCGCCTTCTTGGGCCTCGACATCAGCGAAGAGGCTGTGGTGCGAGTAGAGCTGGAAGTAGAGGTAGAGGACGTAGATGATGAGGAGGATGATGGAGGTGCCGTGTGAGAGGACAAGGATGTTCTGGTCCGTCTCAAGGTTGCCCTTTTTGCTATCGGTGTGCATTACGGCGTAGAGGGTGGCAGGGATGATGAGCGAGGCGGAAGCGACGGCCATGAGCGACGACATGGTAGATGCGACAGTCTCATTGAAACGACTTTCGCGCTCTCTGATGCCAGCAGCGAGGAAGCAGCATCCAAGCACCTGGAAATGAGTCAGAAGGGAATTGGGCAGGAGCTAGGCCGCGCGACGTACAAGAAGAATGTTTGACAGGATACTGCCGAGCATGCTGGCCTGAACAACTCGAATCTCGCCCTGCCTGAGGGCAACGATGGAGACCTGTTTGAGTTAGCGATGGGCAAGGGGGCATCAGATACGGGTGCCACATACAATAAGCTCGACGGCATTTCCAAACGTCGCATTCATCAAACCACCAAGGGTTTGACCGAGCTTGGCGGAGAGCTCCTCAGTGGCGAAACTCAAAAGGGCGGCAAGAGGGATGATTGCGATGAAGTTGAGGATGAAGACGACGGTAGGGTTCCAGGACAAGGCGCCGGCGACAATGCCGATGGGGACAAAGACGAGCAAGACGTTGACATAGTTGCTGGCGAGGGTGGCGTAGGTGAGGTGCAGGATGTGCTTGGGCAGCGTCTTGATGCGCGACTCATCTGCATAGTTTTGGGTGCGACCGATGAGCGGGGTGTGCTCATCGTGAAAGCGGCCATTAGCAGGCTGGGGCATGGCAGGCGGTTGAGGATAACTGGGCGCGCGACCGTGGCGGTGGAAGTGTCGCTTTATGTCTTCTGCCAAGGCGGGCGGGTTAGTGATGCGGTGTGTGACGATGGGATAAGAAGCGCACGAGGCAGGAAGGTTGGTGATAGTGCGCTGCTTGGTATGAGGCGCAGCGGCGAGCCGTGGGCGGGTAAAGCTAGAGTTGAGTTGATAGGCGATGCAGCACAATCGGCCCAACTCGCACAGCGGGGGTAGGGGGGGTGAAGAGAAGAAAGGGAAAAAAAGGTCAAAGGAGCCGGGGACACTCACTCATTGCTTCGTGGGAAAAGAGTCAGATGGGCAATTGGGCGGCAGGGCTTGCAGTATATGAGCTGTCGACAGCCAAGCTCAGTGGTGTGTAGAGTAGCGGGAGAAGCAAGCTCGGCAATTGGCCGGGGAGAGGCTTGAGCTACTGGTACTGGCGGGTGATCCGTGGTTGAATTGAAGAGAGGAGGCAAGCAGGTGCGCAGGTGCAGGTAGGAAAAGAGGAAGGCCGAGCGTGTTCGGGCAATTACATATCAAGAGGACAAGAGATGGGGCGAGCGAGGGCCGCCCTGGCTTTGATGAGCCGTGTGCTGCGACGGGTTGCGATGACGACGTATTGGCGCCGTGGACCTTGCGGGCTAGCTGGCTGGCTAGCTGGCTGGCTGGCTGGGGGCTGGGTGGGCTGTGTACACTACCTAGAGTAGAGCAAGTGCAAGTGCAAGTGCAAGTGCAGGTAGGGGTGTTGCCAGGGGGAAGTGGAGCGACCCGTCAAACACTTGTGCCTGCCCCAGTGTCAAACACGGCCAAGCCCGAGTTTCATTGCTCGGCCACGCTCCAAGAAAGCCCCGGCCGGTCTTTGTCTTTTACACAGCCGCCTTTTTTATTCCTTATCCTTCTCCTTTATTATCTTTATTATTCATGTTATTGATGGAAACATTCGAGAGCAAGCCTGCCCGGCGTTGACCGTGGTGATGTCATTTGTGCGCAGTGCCAGGTGCAAGTTTGCCACTTGTTGCCAGTTGCCAGTTGCCAGTCGCGCCTTCCCGGAAAGTGTCACGGCCATGCAGTGCCCAAACACAACCGCTGCGGATCGTCGCCAACCGGTCCCACTTTTCCCTGCCTCACAAACACACTAGCATTACCAGCATGCGCCAACTTCCCTGCTCTGCTGCGACCTCGCTGCGACGTCACCGCCTAACAGAATTCACATATTTTGTCTGTCAACCTCACCGCTGTCAGCTGTTTGTTGTGTGAGAGAGTAAGCTCAGTCTCATTGCCTCCCAGAGCTGTGCCCCAATGTGGAATGGCCGAGTACCATGCCGGTGTTGCCTGGACCACACAGCTCCGGCCTTCACTTATACAACCAAACTCATGGCAGGGTTTCGCTCACATGGCTCTTTCTGGCACGCATTGACTACATGGTGATAATGTAGCCTTACTAAATTGCTTGTATTTTCAAATGCCGACCTGCGCATTGTTATTGTACGTGTTTTCCAAAGCCCCCAAACATCAAGAACATCTAACAAACAAGCGCAGCCCGCTCGCATGTGATTGTAGAGGTAAAGTCACGGTGAGAGTAGCAGCACCAATGAACCTCACATGCCTTGCCTGTGGCAGAGAAGTGAAGGTGGAAGTGAAGGTGACTGTCGTTTGGACGGCCCAGTTTCTCACACATATATCTTTCTGCCTGCTCCTCAAATCTTCTACTTTCGAACTACACTCCACCATTTCAGTCTTCCGTTTTGACAACTCTCGCCCTCATCCAATCCGTTCCTCCACAGCTCTTTTCGAACATCTTTTTTTTCACGATGGAGAATGACAGCCAGACTTCCTCAAGGATGACGACCTCCGAGATGGAGGAACACTCCACAAATCCTCCCCGTGAGTAGTATGCAATGATTATCGAACACCGCTAATCCATTCCAGCGAACCAACTGCACCTTGCAGCGAAGAATTGTCAACTTCTCCTTGAACGTCTCGATCGTTTCCTGGACGACGACACTCAGGACACGGCAGTGGATGAATCACAAGACACAAGAGCAAGGGAATCACAAGAGACAGGAACAGAGGAACCAACAGCACTCGTGCCGCTTCCCGGGTTCCCAGCATACGAGAGATACGACTACCCCGGCAAGGGTTGTTTGGATTGGGCGAAAGGCCCTAAGGAATCACGACCCAGTGCGGGTGCGAGCGACCGGGCTCGAGCGTGCCCCAATGAACACCCTTGGGGTGTGATTTGGGTAGGCTCAGCAAGGAAGTCGTGCCCAGGATGTGGCCAGCAGATGCCAAAGCCCGTAGGTTCCAAGAGCGAACCCGTTGCAGTATGGGATATCCCATGTGAGGTAGGAAATGATGGCAAAGCTATCAAGGGTACCGGCTTTGCGATCCAGATCAAGGACACAGGACGCATGTCAAACTTGAGCAAACAAGGACCCAAGGACACGGCCAAGGATGCTCGTGCGAGCCGTCACTATAACGGCATGGCAGCACGCCTGAAGCTTATGTTGACGGAACAAGGACTTACCGAAGAAGAAGCGCAATACCAGGCACGCTTCCCATTTCAATGGAAAGACGGGAACGCAAAAGCAGCACTGCAGTACAGGCTTGAGGCGTGGTACGCCCACGAGGAACCAGACACCGAAAGCACTGCAGTTCCCAACGACGATCCCAACAACCCATTTATGGACTTGACCATTTCGTCGCAAGACTCAGATCAATTCTCACTTCCTTCCAATCTTTCATGTAACGATGCCGAGTCGGCCAGCGGCGACAACGATGACGACAGTGAAGTTAACTTTTCAGACTCCGATGATGTCACCCATGGACCGTTCCGACATGACATAATCTTCCGACAGATGCCATCAAATTGGGAGAAGAAGGGGGGTATCTCGCGCGTATGGTGGATCACCAGAGAACAAAAGAATATAATGTGGAGGAACGCATTAATGGAGTCGGATCTACTATCAATCACAACAAACAGAATCCCTAACTTTCTATATCACCTTGTGCCAATGTTTGCACGTTGGACCAGCTTGGAGATGGACTTGTGCCTAACATGGCATGTACGCTCCATCTACACAGCAAGCCAATGGTATAAAAAGAGGAATCGAGCGAACTTTCAAGCTCTTATCAAGCTTCTCTTTTCGGAGGCTGTGCGTTGGAAAGAGTTGTTTGCGATAGATGATAGCGACGACGAGGATGATGACGAGGATGATTCCAGCGACGAGGATGATGGCAACGACGAGGATGGTGACGACGACTAGGATGATGGCAGCGACGTACATCGAGAGCGTTGGAATCAGACATAGAAGGACCCTATTTGAGAGATATTGAACAATGCAGAATACGAGATTGAGCTCATTCCCCTTATGCTGTGCACTGCTTGCATACTAGCTGCTATAGTGATGTGTGGGGTAGCATTGAATAATTTGTTCCTCTACCTTTTTTTACGGTGTTTCTCGCAGCTCATACGGAACCTGAGTTGTGCACACGCGTCACAAGCGTCGAAATCAACTCTGCAACACCCCGCGTCGTCTCGATGGCGCGACTCAAGACATCTGCTTCTGCTTCCAGAACTCCTCACATACCCCCAACCACCACCAACCCTGGCGCGGTATCTCCTGCGCTCAGGGTTGCAGCGGCTTGTCCGCGACGCGCGCAACGACGGCCGACCAAGCAAGTCTCGTACGAGCTTGCAAATCACGTCAAAGCTTATCTTGAAGCCGGACAATGTACGTGACGCAATGCGATGCTGGAGAATCTACTGACAATCATTCTAGACGTAAGCGGCTATGGCCTGCTATACAGCCTGCTCGCTGCGGGGACTAGTATCTCGACACCTGCACGACCCTATGTTGGCTACCTCGCACCGCCCGCCTACATTACTTTTGCCTCCTCCTTGATCGTGGACCCCAAGTGCACAACAAAGGCACAGTCAAAAGACGTGATAAAAGGCGCAGACGCCGCTCTACAGTACCTGCAATGCATGCGCACCACCATAGACAGCCCCGCATACCCCACCATACGCAAGGCCTTTAGTTTCCCCGAAGAGCGCAATAGGAGACGCGCACCGGGTTACAGGGGTGGAGGGAGTCTTTCTCCTGAGCCTGGTGGAGATATTGAACGCATAGCCGGCGACGCTGCCAACGAAAAGAGCTTGTGGTATTGCGCAGAGGATTTTTGGCACATTGTAGGCTGGGCATTCAACTGCGCGTGTGTATATAAGAAGCGGTGGAGTCGATGGAAGCTGTGGCTGGCCGTCATACTGGACTTTCTTGAAGCTGACTGGGAAGTCTGTGTCCGGCAGAGCAGAGACGACGACGTGGATGCAGAAACGTTCTTTCAAGAGAGTCTGCTTTCGCACTACATTGTCGGCGATGAGTCTGCACCTACGAATCGCGCAAGAAGGCGGCGTATCGTCAAGGCTATCTTCGCGACTGGAATGCCTGAATCACTCAAGGAATATCCCGAGATTTGGGACAGGGAAACAGCAGAGCCCAAGCGGAAGAAGGATGAAGAACAGCGAATCGGCGAGGTCGACTTTGAAACGGGCGACATTGCCGACTATGCTAGCGACGACGAGATGCAAGATGCATCCGAGGACGAGGATGGCGAGGATGCGGATGAAGCGTCTGCGTTTCAAGACTACAAGAGCATCCAAAACACACAAGATGCTATAGAACACTTGGGTGGACATGATGCGATTGAGCTGCGACAGCGTCTCTTAGCTCTGGTCAGTAGCCTGTACTCTCAAGCGCGACAACAACTAACAGGAAGCAGCTCGCACAAGCAGCCCTAATCCTACCTACCTCCTTCACGCGCCTATTCGACCTCTGCGATACCATCCTCGAAGACTTCATCCAGTTGCCCACTGTCATATTCCAAGCACTCCTCCCCACAATGAAGCTACCTGACGACATCCAATTCGCCTTCAACGCCAACCTCCTCTCCCCCTTGATCAGCGGCAAAACACCAAACTACTTCGTCACTCTGCCCACACAAGAACACTTTGAAAAGAAACTCCTCTCGCTCAAAGGGTCAACGCAAAGTTTTGCTGCAAACGCAAAGATCTCTCTCATCCTAGAGCAGCTCTTCATGTACATGATGGATCATGATGCCCTCAAACCCACAAAGGCACTCCGCGGCGCCATGGAAACAGGCATCGAGGCGCGACAAGGTGTCTATGGCACAGGAAAAGGCAAGCGCGGTAACGCACAGGAGGAAGAACAAGGAAAGGGATTACTGCATGCGTGCTCACAACGGCTGCTGGGCTTGTTGGAGGTGTTGGAGATTGCCGCGGGCATACCACCACAGGTAGCGACGAGGAGGGGGCACGGTGATGCTGCTTTGGCCTTCTTGTCTTTTGGCTCGGGCTCCTCGCTTTCGCCTCCGCCAGAGAGCGAAACGGAGACTGAGGAGTGATGGTATGGTGTATATAGGGGACATACTCAGCGTCATGCATAACACGCCTTGTCGCACATTTGAATGCAAATCACTCGTATTCCTGTCTCAGTGATGTTGAACCTGCGTTTTCTTTTCTTTCCTCTCTTTAATGTATACGCATGTTCCACCCCTCCCCAGTCAAACAAAAAAAGCAAAAAAGAAAAGAAAAGGCGACGAGAACAAAAAAGCAATGCAAGCACTTGATTTGTCAACCAACCTTGGATTTCAAGCCCGACAAAAAAGAAGGGTACATGTTTTTCCGGTACCGGGAGTCGAACCCGGCTCTCGTCGGGCGCTGTCATTGGAAATGAAAGCGACGGATGCTAGCCGATCTGATTGGTCTGTTAGGAATTGTCGTAGGGATGGTGGATTGTTGAGATGCTACTTACACACCATACCGGATGACTTGATGAGATGATTCAGAATTTAAATCAATATCTCATGAATAGTGGTGCGCGAGATGAAGTGCGGAGGAGAACTTGCCCCACTCGTGCTTGTGACGTTTAGCGAGGTGCTGGTGGGACGATGATGCGGGTGTGTTAGCGCGATTGGATCGACAGATAAAGGTCTTACGTTTCGAGGCGTGGAAGTGGGGAAAATATGGAGGTTGTTGTAAGAATGATGGTCATGGTGATCTGCGCTGTGTTTGCATGGATGTACAGGAATACAGGGTTGTATTGCAATTCAAAGTTGCGCATAGGTTCATGGGAGCAAATTTTGGTATGGTATAAAGTTGCTTCCGTGTCTGTGTTCAAGTATACACAGTGCATGGTATCCTCCTCGTCATCTTCCTTGACCATGTTTTCATTATCCTTATCGACCATATTGTCTCCATCAACCATGTCGTCTTCATCCTCACCAACCATGTCCTCCGCTACACCACCATCACCACCATCATCATCAGCCGGTGCCTTCAACCGCGCCCAGCGCTCTGCTTCCACTTTAAGTTCTTGTAGAAGACGACGAAGGTTCTCTAGGCTACTCTCACTATACCACGCGCTAATCTGGTAAATAGCGCCCATCTGCCAAATTATCAACGTATAGATGTTTCTACCGGTAAGGCGCGCAAATAGGGGGATAAGTTCGAATAGGGTGGGTGAGATGATTTTGGTACCGATCACGTACAGGCCGGAGTTGCGGAAGGCAGTCTCCCATTACCTATACTATTTCTTATAGCTAAGATGGAAAGGTGGGGGCATGTCGACTTCGTTTTGCCAGTTTGCAGGCAAATATTGGAAGTGAATACTTGCCTAAATGGACTGTGGAATAGATCGATAGGCGCTGTCAGCTCGCGTTACCTGTGTTCTAGATTAGGAGATTCAGTCTTATGGTGTATGGTGATTCTTCGAGCGATGAGTCTAGCGTTTATAAATTCAAGAAACTGCGCGCTTGCATCTTGTGCGCTCATTTTGTTTCCTTGGATAGGTTAGCACTGTTAGATGAGCACGGCATATTACTTACCCAAGGCCTCCTTGGGTTGTATCTCCGGCTTGGAGCTTATAGCCCATGAAGAAGGCTGACTATCATCATCCATCTCGAAAACGGCATTCAACGACAGTTGTAGAAGAATAGATTGGATAAGCGTGAGGCTTCTCACAGGGGAACATTAGAGTGTAGTTGGAGAATAGGAGAGTTGAGCGGCTAGCGGAATGGTATTGGTCAGACACTAGGCCATGCACGAAAACGGAAGTCACCTTCGCCTTGATTTCTCTACTGCAAGCAAGGTACAAGAGCCATGTACGCAAATGAGAGGCAGCTTCACCTTAACTTCAAGCCATGTGCACGAGACCCGGAGCTCGGCCATTACATTGTTTGAAGAGTAAATCACGGATATAAGTCTTGATATACTGCACAGTTGAAAGACATAAATGAATACAGGCTAGGGCGGGTCACACATGTGCACTTCCGCATCAAAAACGGTCCATTTGTAAATGCTCCGATTACAATCCAGAAAAAAAACCTAGATCGAGTTCTTGCCGTCGCTACCGCCCGTCGCCACCACTACCGTCTCACAGTTCAAGGCATCACATAGTAGTCCATGTTTCCTAGTTCGACGCCTCTCCGCAGATTTTCGGGGAGAGGTGACCACACAATTACTGGATCCGTGGAACCAGGGACCATTGCAACCCTCATGCATGGCCTCTTCTTTAAGATGCACGTGTCACAGGCAGACTGAGAGTCGTTCTGTGAAATCACCCACTTGCAAAAGCCTCTCTTACTCCCTCTGCTCAGGATTATTGACGCCACGCATCTAGTCGGGTCGATGCGTTCGCCTGGCTGCCGGGTAATGGCAGCCCAGGCTCGGCGTTGGGCTAAGTTTAGGAATATTGACTCGGTTATTACCGTGCCCATCCTGTTCTGGAATTCAAGAGGGAACTGATCCCAGCATTGCCATCTATTCTGATTGGGTACCCAAAATAGATGAACGAGTGAGAATTCTCCGCCCACTGTATGACCATGTGGAAGAATTGTCGGATTAAGTGCTCCTGGTATATCGAACTTTGGGTACGGGACAGGGGCGACAAAGACCAGATGCTGGTTATCTTGAGGCTCAGGAACAGGATCGTTGTGAGCTGTGGTTTCCATACGAGCTTGTGAGTTCTGGATTGGTTCAGCTGTTTGAGAGGGTTTGGTAGGCAACGTTGGCTGGGGCTCAGGAACAGAATTGCTGCTAGCTAGGTCCTCCACACGAGCTTGTTGTGGTTCCTGGGATAGGTCAGATGTTCGAGTGAGGCTAGTAATATATGAAGCCGGGGGTTCCTGGGGCATTCGAGGTATGAAACTTGAGCTTGACGATCGACTTGGTGAGTCCTGGGATATTTGCGCGCTATCGAAGGAAAGAGTTTGGGTTAGTAAGTTGTCGTCTCCGATCTCCGACATTGCATCCATCTGCACCTCGTTAGGATACTGCAACTCCGAGCCTGATACAACCAGGGCAGCATTTGGGCCCGATGATTCCTTGTTTTGAGGTCCGTAACCGCTGCCCTCGTTTTCCTGCAACTCGACATGTGTATCCTGGCATGCGTCCCGGTCGACCAAGCTCTTGATATAGTCTTGCCTTAATGAATCTTGTCGAAGAGCTCGTTTAGCTAAGGCATGTATAGTGTAGCTATTCTTATCTAGCTCTTTGCCAGTTGAACCTAAGAGGTGAGCAAAGGCAACGAATAGTAGGATAACACATACAAAATCCCGTAAGTTTCCCTTGTATTTCTTCGGTAGTAAAAGCCCCTGAAGTAAGCTTGGGCTTATTAGCTTTGATGGTTTCCGCTTCGATCTTATCAATGTGATCCTTTTGAATGGGGTGGACTGGTAAACGAGTTGGCACTTTTCTTGGGGGTCGTGCGTAGGCATCAAATTCTTGTTCCGTTTCGAATAAGTATGACATAGCTACAATATGCTCGTAACGACGAGAAGAAAATTTAGTGAGAGGCTTTGGTGAGATGCTAGAAGAGGGGCTCCTTCCATTCGTGGTGTGCCAAGACTTGAGTGTAAAAGGCGTCTTTTCGTCGAACAAGCTTCCATGCTTCACCAACACTCATCGCCAGCACTTCAAATCTTCTTTTCATCACTGCTTGTTCCATATAACTCCAATGTCGACTGTTCCCAACGTAGTCTTCAACCCTGCGAACAGCCATGACTGTGAGCGAGTCTTCCGACGATTGTCACTCCTATCTAGGCAGGACCGCGAGCGAACCTTGAACAGCTTGAGTTCGGAGATCAAGGACGCACTTCTTCTACATGTTATCGACAATGTTCGAGGAGTCTCACGCGGCAAGTCTAATGTTACTACTTTGAAATCCTGGGAACTGACGATGTAATAGCTGGGCCAAAGACTTGTGATGAAATCCCCGAAACTGATGAAGAGTTTGATCGATCGAATTCTGTGAGCAGCGAGCCTGTTTCGAAACTTCCGACCACACACGCCATTGATATGAGCGATGACTTGCCCACTATCCAAGATGGATACCAAGCCCGCAGGATGCCGTCCAGCCTACCAAATGCAATGAGTACGCCACTATCCGATCGTATATGAGCTTTGCTAACAAGGAGAAGAAGTTCGCCGTGTTGTCGAGAACGGGGTTCAGTCTAGCGGAGAGCTGTAGGAACTCTACAAGGAAACATACGATAGGACGGGGTGATTGCTCATAAGGAGAAGAGGAACGTGATTTATACATGACAATGAGATGTTCAAATCATTAAAGCTCAATAGCTAAATTACAAAAGTAGCAAGCCTTCCCCTAGTTTGGTATACCCTCTCTGCGTGACATCCTTTACTCGCCTGCAATACTTTCAACTAGCTCGCTGTCTGTCGAGCCCCAGTTGCGGCGACGCAGAACTCCTTGGACAACGGCAAGGTTTTCTTCAGTCAATGGAAGAACCTTAGCTACAACATCTGAGGCGGGGGTGTTCGAGACAATGCTGGGGGTCGACGGGGTGTTTCCTTGCTGAGGGGCCGTCTCGGGAGGCACTGTCGCGGGAGGCGTGGGCATGGGCTGCTTGTTCCTGAATGGTGAGACTTCGGTGTTTCCTTGCGCTTCTGTAGTAGTCGGGATCGAACATGGAAGTAGCAGCTCTTCACGTAGAGACATCTTTTCCTGAGCCGTATACAACTCATCCCATTCATCGAGAATTCTATCGATGATAGTACCGGAAAACATATTCTCTGGAACCTCAGCTCCTCGATAGAAGGGCTTTCTGAGCAACTTAGGATATGCAGTCAGTCTAGTTCCCGTCCACCGAGGGGTGAGAACGGGCGTAGTTCCTTTCAAGAAGTGCTTCCTGTAGTAAACTTTGAGAATGTTGTAACAGAAGTTCCGATTCAGGTCAGCCTTTGTTCTTGGGTCCTTTGCGTGAAGTGAAAGTATAAAAAAGAATTGTTTCCTGTTGGGCGGAACGTGAGACCCGAGACAATTGGGATTGTCACACACTTGATCCGTTAAGAGTTGCTTGAAGCACCAGCGGCCATTCACTGCTTTTCCGTCGAGGCCAATCTTCGAGGGATTGATGAGTGGATCATTCCGAAGTCTCCCAAAAGTCTGCCTCCACTCTGGTGGTATCTCGGTGTACTGGATAACTTTTGGGGCGAACTCTTTGAGTTTGTAGTATGGTATCTGTGGATCTTGTCGACCTAGATTTTTCCTGCTGTCCAAGGCCCAGAGTTTGAGCTCAGGAGCAGAGTGAGCTGGCTTTGGTTGCTCGGGAGACTTTGGCTTGGTCGACATTGGGGAAGTCTGGGTAGATACTGGCTTGTTCAGCATAGTTGTAGCATCTGTGGCACGTGTGGCACGGGCGGGTGATGCGTCTTTGCTTGCAATTTGATTCTGCATAGGCTCGGATGCCTCGACCTTTTGGAGTGGTTCCTTGACATCCTGAGGCTGCGCAGAATCATCGTGCGCAGGAACTACTAAATAATAGGTCAGTGACTTCCGTTGCATTGGAAAGTAAAACATACCAGAGTGATTACCCTTTTCTGCAACTGTCCCGGTCTCTTGGGTCCATGAAGCGATGTGTTTCTTGCGGAATGTACTCTCGTCCATGATTATGGCGTCTTTGGGTTGTCCTGTTAATCGGTTAATTCTGATCATACCAAGAAACAACATGGCATACGGCTGGGAGCATCCTCAAAGTCGCATGGATGAACACACGTTGGCGGCAACGCAACCCATTTTTCGTCTTGGTGGAGATATACCCAGACCATCCGGGGCGGGTGATCATGCCACGAACGACAACTCTCAGAGTACCCGTATTCATCCGCCATGTTCGAAGCTTAGCAAGAATTTCAGGAGGAAAGCAGAGCTTCAAATTGGATTTTGTGTCAAATGCGAGTATAGCAGTCAGTGAGTAGAGCGAACTCAAGAGTTCCAAAGCGGCACGTGATCACGGTCTGTTTGCTACCAGTCTCTAACCCAAATTAGCAATCACCGTTCACTTCGCGTAGGACGAACTCTGCCTGAAAAGCGGGGCTGTATTGTCTCACTATATCGCTTAGCAGTTCGTCACATTTGCTTCTTCTCTCACCCCAACCCTCGACAACTAAGCAAATATATCACACTCTTCTCCCTACAAACAAGCAACTCGCTACAGCAACATGTCCACTCCGCTCAAGAAAATATACGAGCACTGGACCAAGGAACAGTGGGTGCGCAAGGAGGAACTGAAGAGACTTGCAGCACAGAACGAAGCAGACATCAAGGTTTTCCTGAACTTCCAGGTGAAGCTCGATAAGAGCATCGAAAACTTATCCTCCTTGCTTGGAGTTAATGACAAATCAGTTACGCGTCTGAAAGAGATTAGGGAGCGTGTTCCTGAGATGTTCAAGTTGACAACTGAACTATCTGAATCTATCGACAAACAAAACGCCCTCCTTGAAGACATGTCGGATACCCGTGCGCGGATCCTGCTGGAACAAATGGATGTTCTGTCCAAGGCCGGAGAAGAAGGACTGGGAACCATGGTATCTACTGAAAACACCCCTCCCTTTGCTATACCTGCTAAAAAGATTCAGATCGACCCAAACGCCATGGACTTCAGTGGTCTTCCGGCCAAAGACACCAACACTCAGGGCCCGACCTTGAATGGTGAAGCGAGGGATCCTAGCGAGAACCTCGCCGGTGATGCGACCAAGAATTCCTAAATCGATGCCTCGACCAAGCCCAAGAACAAGCTTGACTCAGTTTCTGAACTGGGACGATAAGAAGGCCTGACCGAACGGGGGCATGCTGAACAGTGGGTGCAAACAGGATAAAAAGAGTGGACAAGCGGAATAAGAATCAGTGGATTTTAAGTAGTTCAAAAATAAACTGATGCTCTACTATCACATGTGTGTGCCATGAGTTATGATGATTTGTGCTGTTTCTAGCTCAACATCTTTGTGCCAAACAAAACCTACAACAACAATACGCTAAGCATAGGTCATCGAGAGCCCGCGCTTGTCAACCAAAAGCAAACATAGAAGAGAATTACGCGAAAGTGAAGATCGGCAATGGTATGCATATTCAAGTAACATACTTTATATCAATAACGCCTTTGTGAAAATCTCGGCCCTGACCTTGGAGTAAACCGTTTACCCAAAACCTTCCACAACTACTTCTGCTTGGCAAGAATAGAGTCAACAGCGCCCTTTGCCAAATCCCTTAGTGTACTCTGCATCAGCTCGAGAATGCTAATCTCATACCCAAGTTGCTGCTTCGTCCAATTCCTCAGTTCAATGCCTACCAAGCTATCCAATCCAATCGAGCTCAGTGATTCATCAATGTCCATATCATCAACAGTCCGCATCAGGAATCCGAACAGCGTCTTGCCGATTTCCTTGGCCACATGTTCTACGCTTTCATCAGACGCAGAACTCAGGCCGGTTATGTAAGCCTTCAGATTAGATGATGTAGAGGACGAGGAACTGTTCTCCACATCAAGAGTGCGTGCGATAGCGAAGCGGCGGTCGTGCTTCCAGATCACACGATTGTTGGGGTCGTACATTGAGAGAGTAGTGCGGACGCCTGGAGCAAACTGGCCCTGATCTGAGAAGCCATCACCCTTCCAAGTCAAAGTAGGGCTTGAGCGGGAGATGGCCAGCCTCACAATATCGAAAATATCCTTCTCAGTCAACGTGGTAGATGACTGTGACTTGAAGTAATCGAGCAAATTTTCGGTTGCGGCGACGAACCCAACATCCTCCATGACGCCCAAGTCGATGACGGAAGCGGGAAGTCCAAGACTGTGGCGGTACTGCGTAAAAGCGTCGAGGAAAGTGTTTGCTGCTGCGTAATTTGCTTGACCAATTTGACCCATCAAGCCGCTTATCGAAGAGAACATGACGAAGAAATCAACGTCTGGTACTGCGTGGTGTAGGTTCCATGTGCCGGCGACTTTGGGCTCAGTAGCTGCCTTCCATGCATCCCAGGTCATCGATCCGATGGCTTGATCGTTCAACACCATGGCAAGCTGGATGACACCGCGGATAGGCTTTGTAGCAGTCTTAGCCGCATGTTTTACCAGGTCGAGATCCGCAGCTGATCCTGCCAATACCTGAACCGAGCATCCGAGGATCTCAAGCTCTTGGAGAAAGTGCTCATTCTTTGATGACCTCCCGGAACGGGAGATGAATATCAGATGCTTGGCCCCATTGAGAACGAGTGATAGAGCAATGGAGCGACCAATACCTCCCAGACCACCAACCAGTAGATATGAATAATCTGGATGGACGTTGAGTTTAGGGTGATGTTTCTTGCACGTGATTTCCTTGAACACTTTCGGATCCTCAGGCATAGTCACTGTGATCTTGCCTATGTGTGTGCCTTTTTGCATGTAACGGAATGCATCCGCAATCTCTGTTATGCCAAAGTTCTTGATTGGCCGGATCGGTTGGATGTGTCCTGCAGAACGCAACTCAGCCAACTCGCGAACGAGTCTTCCACACAAATCGGGTCGCGCATGCTGGATATGGTGAGCATCCAAGCCGATGAAGCTGCGGTTGTCTGTGAAGCCGACGAGGTCTATTTTTCCGTGCCCATAGAAGTCACGCTTTCCGATTTCAATCATTGCACCAAAATCGCCGATACACTGCCAGGTCTCGTGTAAAAGTTCACCAGCAAGAGAATTGAGAGCAACATCGACACCACGTCCGTTGGTTGCTGCGAGGATTTCCGTGCGGAAGGCGTTGCTGTGAGAGTCGAAAATTTGCTCACGTGGGATGCCAAAGTTGTTGACTAGGAACTCGACCTTGTCCTCAGTGCCAACTGTTGCGAATATCTATGAAGAATTAGAAGAATTAAAAGAGAGACATGCAGAGTTCTTACCTTGGCACCAACCATTTTGGCAATATTGATGGCTGAGATGCCCACACCTCCCGCAGCAGAGTGAATCAGAATAGTCTATAGCATGTTAGCACTTTTTTTCCATCTCTGTTCTAGCGGAAATACTTACATCATCTTTGTTCAACCGGCGAGCATGTCGCAACGCAAATATCACCGTCAGATAGGTAGTAGGCATCGTGGCTGCCTCCTCCATGGTCAAGTTATCTGGGACTTTAGCGAAGAGCTCAGCCTTATCGAGTACACGGTTCGAGTAGCTTTCAGCAACCATGCCAAAGACACGATCGCCGACCTTGAACTCTGTAACCTCTGAACCAACCTCAGTTACGATAGCAGAACATTCTCCTCCAAGATCGCTACTATCAATGAGGCCTTGCGTTTGGACGATATCCTAGGTATTTTAGTTAGTGTGTTGATGAATGGATGCTTCAAACTCACTCTAAAGTTCACGCCCACTGTATGCGGACGAACGGCAATCTCGTCGGGCGCACATGGTCGACTGACAGCTTCATTTTCCTCCCAACGCAAGCCATTGATGGAGCCCTTCTGGCCGATACAGAGGTGCTTGTTCTCGACCTCTTCGGCAGCTTTCTCCAGCTCATCCTTGATGGAGACCCAGTGATACCTCGGCAGATGAATAACTCCATTTTTGATCGCAAATTCAAAGTCTGGCTCCATATCATCGTCTGGCGGTGGACTGTTGATCTTTTCATAGAGCTGCGCGACCTTCTGTGAGCTGCTAGGAGCGTTAATTTCATCAATCTCGAGAGTTGTAATGCTGATTTTCTTCTCTGAGCGGAGGGTACGCGCGAAGCCGAGGGACATGGCATAACCAGGCTCCGTTGCGCCCATGGATGCTGTTCGCGTAATCCAGAGCCACTTTTCAGCACCCATTCTGCCGACCATTTCAATCCAGTACTCGAAATCAGACTGTTTCATATCGTGAAAGAAAGGCGATTCAAGTTCCAGGAAGGAAACGACATCCTGATCAACGGGGAGGGGGCTTCCAAAGGGTACTGGCTGAACCGAGTGGCCATTGGCCTCGAAAGTGGCCCTGTACGACTCTAACCGTGCATCGAAATCTCCACGATACAAAAAGGAAACACTCTTCCTGGCGGGTGTCGGCTGGACAAGTGAAGAGATAATGGTGGCGGAGACCTGGAATGGCGGCGTGGTATCGTACCATTTCGCATCCACACCAGTAAAGCCAGCGGCCTTTAGCTCAAGATTCCACCTGTCTGGAGTCATGTATGGTTCATCCACGCGACCATCCTCTTCGCCAAGCCACCAACCAGAGAAGCCAGCCATGATGAAGTTGACCCACTTGGCGGGCATATCCATCTCCTGGAGCATCAGTCGGCCGCTAGGGTGCAACAGCTTCTTCACCCGCGATAGGGTGTCTTGGATCGAAGGTGTCGCATGAAGAACGTTTGCTGCAATAATGAGATCGTACGAGCCTTCTTCAAACCCTTGCGTCAGCGGGTCTTGGGTAATATCAAGGACTGAATACTCAATGCCCTGATATTCCTTGAAACGCTCTTTCGCGGCGACAAAGAATCCAGCTGAGATGTCCGTGTAGTCGTATTTGGAGTATAAACGCTCCCCAAATTCGGAAATGAGTCCTTGAAGCAAGTTCCTTGTGGTGCCTCCAGTACCAGCTCCAATTTCAAGAATTTTCATCGTCGGCTTACAATGACCAAGGACCTCTAGAAGAGGAGCATAGTCCCAACACAAGCTGAAAAAGGCATAGATCTGCATCAAGACATTGTCCTCCATGAGGTAGACAATGTTCTCTGCAGTCCCTTCGAGAAGGGCCTTTGCATTCTCATGTACTCTTCGAATTGCTGTTTCCATAGTGGGTGTCCACTTAGACGCCGCAAGCTCCTCTTGTAGCCCACGAACCAAGGCATTGCGCTTGTCTTCAGAAAGAGATGCCAGTTGAGGGCCCTCGGGGAGAATGACGTGATCGCCTCGGGATACCTTGTCAACATACGATTTGAGCCACGTTCGGAACTTCTCTCCATGAGGTAGCTTTACCTCCTCGACAGAATCCATGATCTTGACTGTATCAATTGCGCGGAGGAAGAAATACTTCTCAAGTTGGGCACTAGGCTCTGTCATGTCGACTGGCGCGCGAACCAGGCCGTCGAGATTCAAAAAATCAATGTCAGGCTTCCAAACAACTTGAACGGTGTTCTTCAACTCCTCTTTCTGCTCTGCACTTTCGCCTAGAGGCGAAAATTTGAGGCCCCTCATCTCGCAGACAAGCTTGCCGTCAGCAGTGCCGACTGAAGAGCCACACCAGGCTCCCATTAAGTCTTGCCACGCCTTGGTCGTCACTTTGATCTCTTTCATTCCACCAGAGATATAGAGTTCCCCAATGTATGTAGGCATACTAAGTTGATTGAATAGTGACGGGTTGCCTTGGTACATAGAGACAGTCATGGGCTGGAGCAGATTGTCCAATATACGCGGATGCACTTCGTAAAAACACCCGGTTTCATCCGAAAAATTGTCCACAGTGCATACTGCTTCGTGTCCGATCGGATTTGCTGAGATGTCTCGCATGTTCCTGAAAGTAGGACCGTAGGTGAATCCGATCCTCTCCATAATCCTGTACCAACCCTCGGCTGAGACCTTTCTTAGATAGTCAGGCTGAGGTTCCGGCCGCATATTAGGGCGAGCTGGACCTGATTTTATCTGCCCCGAGCAGTGCTCACTCCAGGTGGAGCCGTTGAATGAAGTGATACGGAAGTCCCACCAATCAGTATCGATGGTTGTGGTGATTTTTGAGCGCTTGAAAGTGGTGACGATATCGACGGGT